CTTATAAGCCCTCTTCAAGTATCAAAAGGTAGCAATAAGGTGTCCCAAGAGCCTTCTCCAGGCAGATCAAACCCAACTGTCTAGGTCTTTCCTCATAGGAGAGGTGTTCAATCCCTCTGATGATCTTCGTGGCCTCCTTTGGACTCACTCCAACAGATCCATGTCCTTCCTGTGTTGGGGGCCCCATTGCTGGGTGCAGCACTGCAGGTGGGGTCTCAGCAGAGCGGAGCAGAGGGGCAGAATCACCTCCCTTGCCCTGCTGCCCACACTGCTCTGGATGCAGCCCAGGATGTGACTGGCTTTTTGGACTGCAAGTGCACGTTGCAGCTCGCATCCAGCCTCTCATCCACCAGAGCCCCCAAGTCCTTCTCAGCAGGACAGCTTCAGCCTGGATTGATGCCGGGGCTTGCCTCGACCCATACAATAAATGCCGTTATCACCTTTCATGCTGAGACCCCTCCCCAAACGCAGCACGAAGCGCGCCAGAACAGCAACAACACCGACGCCTTCCACAAAAGAAGAGGCAAATCCCCATCGCAGCGACATTTTGCAGGCGCCTGGAGGATCTGGAATTCGCAGCTGGGCTAATGCTACCATCTAGTGGGGATCGCTGGGAGAACGAAACCAGGGAGGCAGGAAAAAGCAGCTGAGGCGAGTCCAGCATCATCCCAACTCTCTAACACACCTGCAATTTGACTGAAACCACAGTAAAAAGAGTGAAAAGATTAGCAGTCTCATGGTGTTTTGCTCCTTTTCAGGGAGGTCCCCAACTCGTCAGTAAGACTTGCTGGAAAATGTTTTCTTTGAGCAAAAATCAAGTCAGGGCTCTTTAAAAGCAGTCATGAGTCTGTCATCCACAGAGAGCGAAGGATGATCCATGTTGTGTCTTTGGACTATGAGAAACAGCCCCACTCTGCAAACAAAACACAGTATTTCTTACTATTCAGGCTACCTATAAAATTCTTAAATGTTATCGATACAATTGCAAATGAAAACAATATATAATCCCTTTATTGATGTGAAATCTAATTATTTTTTTTTTAATATAGATAAATAAACCCAGTATTTCTTTTTTCTTTTTCCTGAAGTTCCTTTAAACTTCAGGAGGATTGCTGTTCTGGAAGAATTATCTTCAGGGTCCCCAGTTCCTCTCAACATTAGGATTTAGCACACAAGGAGAAGACATTTTTATAGGCAAAATAGGCAAAATATTACACTGATGGGGACCTTCTTCCACAGAAACCTGTGTATAACTGGCCACTACAAGCCATAAATGCAGAAAAATTACGTTGCTCCTCACAGTGGTATAGTATAATGAAAATGTTGAAACTAGAAAAACGTGATACAGATATATAAGTGTCCTGGAAGTCTGAAGATATCATAAACCACTCATGCTTTTTTCTTTTTACTATCAGAAACCCATAATGCCTCAGAACCCCATAATGCCTCCGTTGGTTCTTTATATGTAATGGGTACAAATAACTCTTACAAATAGCAGTGTAATATTCAGTTATGCAGTAGTAGTAACCAAAAAACTCTGATTTTATTTCTTGTTCAGGGAAACTCTTTTTTTTATCCAAGTTACTCATTGGCACACATGAATGAGAAGTTAATATTCCTTTCAAAGAACAAAAAAATTTAAAGTAAACCAAAAAGCTCCTGAAATAAATTTGGAAGGATTTCACCCTGACAGGATGATAAATATTCCCAGGAACCCGGTTCTACATAGGTACAGGAACTTTACAGCCATTCTGACATACATTCAACAATGTAAGTGTAAAAACCTCTGTAAAAACAAAGGTCAGAGGAAATTTTTGTGTATATCTGTGCACTGAATTCCCCAAATATTTTTACCTCTTTTATGCCATTGTCTTATCTTTTTCTGGCAGTTATTTTTGTTGTTGTTTCTGGTTGTATTTGGTTATTGTCACTGAAGCATCTCACATTTATTTTCCAGAGCAGAATTTTCAGCCCAGGATAATGTATACAACCTATATTTAGGTCCTCTGATACTGGTTCTTGCTTTGGTTTTTGGTTTTTATTTTCTTACTTCCACATTGGCTTCTTTACAAGATTATGCTTCAAAATATGCTGCAATCTCACTTTTAGAAATATATCATCTTGTTTTCATTTATAAGGGTGCATGAACTCAATACAACATTCTTCATTCTTCCATTCTGCAAGAACTAAAAATCCAGTGCTTTTGGTTTCACAGAGTTTTTGTTTGCTTGCACAGAGGTTTATGTAAAACATTCCTTCAAGTCTAATCTGAAGGAGAGTGATATCCTTGAATTTTATTGTTCCCAAGCACATAAAGGATCTGACCCTTGTGAAATTCTATCTGAACTTGAGTTTAATCTGAATTTGTATCACCTCTATCCAGACTCCTTTTCTTTTTCTTTCCAGATATAATAGTACAAATTTTAAATGAAGTGAAATTCAACTCGCATTCAACATAACATCAGTGCAGTGATCTGAAATGTTTGGGAAGCTCTTAGAATGGTGAAACAAGCACAGCTTCACTTATACCTGTAAGCTGCAAGATAACTTGAATACCAAGCAAAACCAGTTCACATTGCTTTTTTATTAAACCCACCCAGGAGTGCGATTATGGACATGTTCTACGGGCCCAGAATTCTTGCTGATGTCAGTGGAATTGGTTAATTTACACTGTTTAACAGTCTGGCCCTCTGGCATTTTCTATCAAATACAGCTAGAGTAACAGTTGAGTAGCTACACACAACCTAACAGGTAGTGGATGTATGCAAAGCAGTTGTACATTTTGTAATTTGAAAGTAAGAAACAGATGAGACTTAGTTCTTCATCTAGCGCCAAAAGCACCTTCACCTGAAATTCAGACGCTGAAAATACTGAACTGTAATTTTCCTTAATACACAGAACTATTGCAGGCTGCACACACACAGACCTACCCAGCACTTGTGTCGTGGCAAATCCCCGGGAGTGCTCATCAGCAAGTGTTTCCCTCATCACCCAGGGACATGCTGAATTTCTCCTGCTGCACTGGCTCTGCTTGCAAAGACTGATTCAATTTTAAATGAATGAAGAATTCCAGCTCAGGGAGATAGCATCTCTCTCTCTTCACAGTAGTGGTAGAAACCAAAATCCCCTCAAGGTCTCAGACAGCTTGGAGTGACACTGATGACCTCTCCAAGTGAGTTCAGAGGAGGGCCAGAATTATGATTATGATCAGAGGCCTGGATCACCTCTCCTATGAAGGCAGGCTGAGAGAGCTGGGGTTGTTCAGCCTGGAGAAGAGAAGGTATCAGGGAGACCTTACAGCAGCCTTCCATTACCTAAAGGTAGCCTAGAAGAGAGCTGGAGAGGGACTTTTTACAAGGGCAGGTAGTGATAGGAGAAGGGAGAATGACTTCAGACTGAAAAAGGTCAGGTTTACATTAGATATTAGGAAGGAATTCTTGACTGTGAGGATGGTGACAATACAACAGGTTGCCCAGGTAAGCTGCGGATGGCTGGTAGTGTTCAAGGCCAGGTTGGATGGGGATTTGAGCAACTTGGTCTAACAGAAGGTGTCATTCCGTGATTCTTCAATTCATTAGACTTTTCTGTTCATTTCTTTGATAGGAGCAGGGAGGGGTTGGTCAGCTTTCACAGCTGTGCACCCTGAACACCCAGAGAGACCTTTCCCTCCATCATTTCTGAGTAAGGCATTACTAAGTAAACCCTTCACTTCCTTTCCACTAGGCAGGCTCAACAGCTCCCTAAAATCAACATGCTGGTTTTTACAAGCCCCAGCCTTAGCCCCTTAAGACATATTTACAAATCCAGACAGTGCTATTCAAGCCAACACAAGTATCAGAAAGGCCCTGGCTGTGTTAGCACAGCACCCACTGATGACTCAGCCGGGCTGTGTGTGCCCGGGGAGGTTGTTGTTCTACCACAGCCAAGCTCCCTCTGGTGCTCCATCCAGCCATCCAAGCAATGCAAACTGGCTCTCCCTCTGCATCATCCCTGCATTGCAGCTCTAAGCCCACTTGAGGATCTAATCTTAGTTTTTCCACGGCTAGAACAGGCTTATTTGCCTCCGGACGAGGCAACAAGATAACTGGAGCTTTTGTTCTTTTTTGGGGATCCCAATCCAACCATAAACATCTTTTTCATACTCCTATTGCCCCCTAAAATTCATTCCATGTGTGTGCTGAAGCTGTTTGTCTCTGCTTCAACAATCACACCAAAATAATATGGTCATTTCCCAAATGCCAGCCACCGCCATCTTCTCAGTAGAAAAAAAGGATCTTTGATCTGTGCTATTTATTCATCCTGCGTTACACCTACTACTACTGTTAAAAAACATAACACACTGGAGGTAGATTGTGCTATATTTCATGCACATTCATTGCTGGCGCTAAGGGACATACCCATCTGTTATTTGCTCTCAGCTTTGCTTACTGATAAAACAGGAAAGACAGCTTGCTGATGAGCTCTTTGAAGCAAAAGGCTCCTCTCTTTTTTACAATTAAAGCCTATGAATAATTTTTTCAGTAGACAGTATGCAGCCTACCTCAAATCAAAATTACTTCTACTAAATTAAAACTAAATACTCTCTACATTTTTTATTTTATCATGTGACTTTGAGTGATGAAATCTTACAGCAGCATGACCTTCTTTAAATTATATTGGACTTTTTCCCAGCACAATCTGCCTGTTACCTGGATTTCAAACATATGCTCTAGTGTGTTTTTCAGCTATGTGGTCACATAAAAATATGTGAGGGGGGTAGTGCAGGAGAACACAGTTGTCTGTGGGATGGAGGCTTTGACAGATACTGTCCTTTCAGGGGTCCTCTCTGCTCATTACAGTCATCACAGATTCCAAGAATTTCCCAGTACTGAAGGCAGACATGCCAGGAATGTGTCACGACCCACCAGTAGGGGACGTGATGTTTGTTATAAATTCTCTCCAGGCTGAACAAAGACACCAGACACGTGTCAGGAACTCTTACGTTTTACTCTACAGCACTTCAAGTTCTCAACTCCCACCACAAACTCCTCAAAGGTGCTGGCACACAACCCACGGCACACCTCCACAATCTCCCCCCTCCCAAAACAGTGTTCCATACAGAGTACAAAGAATATGATAGCAGTGCTTCAGTCAGGCAAAGCAAGGGAAGAAGACAAACAATCTCACCAGTCCTTAGATCCCACATTTGTCCTGCCATATGGACGGTCCACAGCTGGTGTTGCAAGACAAAGAAAGCTAAAGAGAAAAAGAGGAAAGGAGAGGAGAAAGAGAAGAGACGAAAAGAGGGAGCGAAGGGGCCCAATCTATGTCCTTTTATAGTTAACCTGGTGCACACCTCTTATGTAAATTAGACTTTCACCACTTTGTTCACACCTGCACAGTCAGCCCTTCTCCAGGAAGCAGGGGAGGAAAAGTGGGGAGGTGGAACTGAGCACGAGTCTCACCGCAGAGCAGGAAGTTGGCTCAGAACTGCAGTGTCCCACCTCCATGTCTCCAATCATATCTTCCTGTCATAACAGTAAGAACATTTGAGACAAAACATGCTTAGATCTGGTCTTCTACAGAGTGACCTTAGCCATGTGACCTTAGAGTGACTCCTCCAGTGGTTACTCCACTGGCTCTCTCAACACATCCAGGGCTACTGGGATAGAGAAGGTCCTGACAGGGTAGGTCCTTTCAGGGGCTTTGGCTCTTGCCATGAGGAGCAGACACTTTTATCAGTTCATTCCTAGGTATCCTGCTTTCCCATGCCATGACCTTTTTTCCTCCAATGCATGACCTTTCCCATGGCAAGTTTCTGTGCATATCTCCACTGTGCAGAGAAGAAACATAAAGGTATAAAATTTATGCCCGGAATACACCTTAGGAAAACAACAACAACAAACACTATAAAAAACACTCTTGTTTTTGTTCTTCTTTCACTCTGCACATGCTCAGACACCTCTGTTACCTCACACTTTTTCAAAAAGGGAATATCCGAAGATTTCAGCATCTAAACAGGGATGGATGGCTTTCATCTCCAGGAACTCATCATCAGGAATAAAGCACAGCTTTTGTATGGTTGAATTGTGTTTCCAGTGGAGAATCAGTTCCTGCTTTTTGTCACTCAGAGCAATCACCACTTTACGAACCCCCATCAATCAGTGCATCAGTTTAGATTTAATCCCAAAAATATTAAAAGTCCCCCTAGAAAGTTTCCAGTTTTGCCAAACAGACACATAACCTGGCAGCAACCCATCTAACACATGGTAGCTGTGCCACCTTTCATGCCCTATCAGTTGGCCTCTGGCCAGGCACTGAGATCCTCTTCACTCAGCACAGGAACACTTGGCAGTGACATCTCTGAGGAACAGGAACTACTCAATGGAAAGGGACACCAGTGACAGATGATATACACTTTCTCTTGATGTATATGCCAAAGCAACATTTAAAGCTTTTTGATGGAAAGTTAATTTTTTGACAATATAATGCCTGCTGGTATTGTACAGCCAAGAATGATTCACAGTCAACGAGTTCTGAGCTTTCCAGATTTAGATGCACTATCCAATGGCGTGCAACAGTTAGCAGCATCCTCTGTGTGCTTCTCGCAATATCTGAAAACAAGGCACTGTTCTGGCAAGGTAATTTCTACTACTTGAACCAATTAAACCTGTTAAAGAGAAAAAAAATAGATCACCCACTAGCATAGAAAATTCAACAATCTACAAAATGGGAGCAAAATCTGAGGAGGAGTGTTGACTGGCAAATTCCTACTGCTTTGGGAGGCTGGAGGTCTTAGTGAGTTGAGTCACTGTGCCACAGGCAACACCTTAAAGTATCCTAGGAGAACACTCAGGGAAGAACATCAGAGCTCCCTGTTTGTATTGCTATTCTACCTTTCCTGTACCAACAAGCCTTCAGAGAAGGCTGATGAGTGCTGTCTTACTAGCATGGTTTAACCCTAGCCAGCAACTAAGTACTGCACAGATACTCACTCACTCCCTCTCTCCCACTATAGGATGGGGAAGAGAATCTGAAAAAGATTAAAAAAACTGATGGGGTTGAGCTAAGAACAGTTTAATATTTGAAACTAAATAAATATATTAAATAATAATAACAACAAAAACAATAATAGTAATGAGGGGGGAAAAGAGAAGAGAAAAAAGTAAAACCCAGGGCAGACAAGTGATGCACTATACAATTGCTCATCCCAACACAATTGCTGACCAGTACTCAGCCCATTCACAAACAGTGATTGGCCTCTTTATGGGTAACTCTCTCCAATTTATATACTGGGCATGACATTCCATGGTATGAAACATCCCTTTGGCCTGTTCAATTCAGCTGTCCTGGCCATGCTCCCTCCCAGCTTCTTCTGCACCTACCTCCTTGTTGGCAAAGCATGGGACACTGAAAAGTCCCTGACTTAGGGAAAGCACTACTGAGCAACAACCAAAACATCGGTGTGTTAACCATGTTATTGTCATACTAAATCCTAACCACAGCACTGTAGCAGCTGTTAAGATGAACCCAAACTCTGCTCCAACCAGAACCAGGACACTTACTAACACCGGGTGAGTGTTTTGAGATTCTAGAAGAGAGGCATTGCTGAAGTGCAAGTCTCACAAGCAGTGAGAGGTTTGGGCTGCAGGAGGTTGGCCACCAGAGGAGCTGAGCAAGCACAGCCCCTAGCACAAGCCAGGCAGCTGCAGCCTGCCACTGAGCTCTACTGTACTTCATGAAGGGGCAGGCATCACAGCTGCAGTGCACAGGTCCACCTGGTTGATGTTTAAAAAGATTATTTAAGTTGGAAAGCAACTGAAAGCAAATGTCATGCCAAGTTCAATTGCCCCCTTGTGTGCCTCTGGCTACAGCACTTGTTCTGCCTGAAACACACTGTACCAGCAGCTGGGTTCAGCTGGACTTTGGGGGATACATTGGTATGTACAAAGTCAGGATAACCTCACAGTGCAAAAATCTCAACTGTGTAACTGCTTTGCTTGCAGCAATCATTGTTATCTCATCTGTAAGCATATCTGTCATTGTTGCAGCTGAACATAATTACACAGCAATTTGTCTACACTTTGCAAAAAAATGTGTAGTTTGTAACGGTGTGACCTCACTGTCCCGGAGTGCCTTGGTTCCATTGTTCTCCTCCACAGAACATGTTTGACACATGTTTGGGCTCTTTTATTTCCTCTTGGGCAGAACAAAAGGAGCACATAACAAAACTTCTGCCAGTCCTGAGGACCTTACTCTACTCAGGCAAACTTGCCATTAGAACTCAACTGGTACTGCTTCTGTTCAGAGGGACAGGTCTGTTTTTATCTTAGGCACTGACTTTCACCTGGGAGCACTGGAAGAACAGCATGGATACGCACGATCATCACAAAGAAGACTGTCACCATTGACCAGGAGGTCTCCCTTCCTGCTCCAGGCAGTGGGGAGCCTCCTCTGGAGACTGTTGGTGTCCATGGTACACAGCTCCTCTCCCTGGAGGCAGGAAGGGCCTCTCTTGCAGTACTACAGCATTTCCAAGGCACTAGAACAGAAAAAGGACATCAGGTCATGAAACCTTGTGTCATGTGGGAAGGGCAACCTCCTCTTCCCTTTCCCTTGCTTAAGAAAGTTAAAGAGGAGAAAGTAGGAAAGTCATGCACAATAGAAGTGAAAAAATGTTGATAAATGTAAACAGGAATACCTAAGCTTGCGCTTCATTTATGATAGATTAACAAATAGTTTTCATCTCTGGTCATCTAGTACATCAAATGTTGAAATATGCCTATATGCATGTCTACATACACATATGTATATAATGTGGTATCATTAGTTACATTTTTAGCCTGTTTTTATGCCAAGAGCCCTCTAGAAGAAATACTAGGCATTTTATGGGTAGTCTGAACTTTTAATTTCTACCTTTAAAACAAGGTCTATGGATTGTTTATCCATTCTCTTCAAGTGTGAACACATTCTGTCATTCATTATTGTATGAATTTCCTTAGGGACTATATAATGCAATTAGGCTCCCTTCTGTCACCTTCCTTCGAGGCCTGGAGATACTGTACTATCCAATCTTCTCATACATAACACATTCATTTAATTCCCTGCGGTACACTCACTTCTTGCCCTTCTGTGCACTTCTTATAATATTTAAATAACATCTTCAAACTACTGTTATGTGACTAGCTCACAAAGCAGCACACAGAAATTAGTCCAGTTTTTGGAACTGCTGTAGAGATGACTTTTCTTTGACTCATAATATTGTTTTTCTTGGTCTTCCGGCAGCTCAGTCCTTTGAGAAAAGGAGCCTCAAAAGCGAGCCATTTCTAAAAGAGAGCTACAGCTTGCTGCTTTCTCTGGTGGATTTCAGTCACTTTCAGGGCTGTACAGAGTATCCTGGGTTATATGATTTCCTTTTGCTCAAGCGTGTCAACAGCATCTCAGCTCTGTTCTGGTAGTGTTACGCTCAGCATACAAACAGTGCAAGCAATGAATTTCAAAACAGATATGCTGGGAGCTAAAGAGAATGCTCTTAGTATTCAAAGCGTTGTCACAGAGTGCTAAAACGTTGAACACCTACCAGAAAGAATGAAACATCTGCTTAGGAAAGGAAGGTTATAATTTGTAACAGCAAGACTTTCTGTTGGAGGAAAAAAAACTATCAACAAAAAACTATCAACAAACCAAACCAAATAAAAAAACAACCAACCAAAAAAAAAAAAAAAAAAAACCAAACCTGAGGGAACAAAATATCAATCCCTCATCAAGCAACCCTCTGGAGAAATCAGCTATCTCCTTACAAGAGATACCACTTAGGAGTGAAGCATTCTCCACTTTTCTTTCTCAAATTAATTCTGTGCTGTGATTACATTATGCTTCTTACACTTGCCAGTGCCTAACTATATTTAGTCTGCTTCCAAACCCTGTCAAGTTTACCTGTTTTCCCCATTGTTAAATAGACTAGTCTGTGCAGTTTCTTTCCTCTGCACAATAATGAGTAGACTGGTGTGTGTCACTCCAATACTGTCATTAACAGCAGATTGGAACGAGGCCATGCCTTGCTGGAGCAAAGCCAGACCAGAGAAGTGTCTTAATAAATACCAGTGCTTGTTTGAGAGAATTCCCAAGCAAAACAAGCCAGAAAAAAATCCAGCAAAGTAAGGTTTTATTGATTTGGTTTCTCAAACATATAATATTAATTTTTATTAATTTTTATTAGCTTTATTAATTTCAGATTAATTTCTTTAAACATGCTGATTTTTGTGAGAGGGGATTCAAGAAGTATGAGTGGTTTCTAGCCAGATGGAGTAATCCTCAGGAATGTAGGGTCTGTCCTGAAAGCACCTTTGTTGTTGAGAGCACAGAAATTATTATATGATTCATAGCATAGGACCAGATCCCACTTGCAGGATGCCACATGTAAGGGAATCCATGAACTCCTCAAGAAGTTTTCTTTTTCTGTAGTTTTTTTTCTGGGGGGGGGGGGGTGTTCCTAGTTTTTTTTCATTAGAAGTTTAACATATATCTTCTTTTTTTTTCCCTAAATCAATCAATAAATAAATATCTCCAAAGCTCCAAGGCTTCTGAATATCTCAAGACTGTGAAAAGAACTCTCTGCTTTCTACTTGCCCTACTCTACAATATTGAGTTCTCTAGAGAGCTCACAGTAAGTAGGCTAAAATGCAGGTCTACACAATGCTACACTCAGGGTGAGCATGTGCTTTAAAATTAAGTTGCTTTTGTTTCCCTACAAGTAGAGGAAAACCACAGTAATAATTGTGCAATGTTACCTGCTCTTATGTATTTCTCAGATTTGTTTCTCTTTTGATGGAATACACTGTATTTCAAATTTTCCACTGGAGTCATCAGCAACACTGGACAGTCTCATAAAACGTGAATTAGGGTCCTTGAAGAGCGAGCTTGGATTTAATGGTGAGTTTAATGGCCTAGCTAGTGTGGTTCTCTGAATAACCTGAGTGCCATTAAAACTCACATGGGTGAAATGACACGAAGATCCAAACCAGATGAATCGGCACCACACCTGCAAAATGAGTGTAATGTTGAACTCTGGTTCTCAACTAGCGTAGTGCAGGGCAGCTGTAGAGAAGACTTATGAGGCAATTCCTCTGTATTAATTTAGGTGACACACTCTCCCTCTCAAAAATAACTTAGGCATTCTTCTGCCCAAGCCCCCAGTACATTCTGCTGAGTCAGCATTTAGCTAGCTCTTAATTTCAATGCCATAAATCTTAACAACTGGTGATAAAATGCATACTTTTTCTTGCTGAGGAGCACCAGAAGTTTAGGTTCTACATTTCTCTACACCTGGTCATTACAGTAGTGCCTTGGAATGAAAGTAATTCATTGTTCCTGATAAAACTTTTCCATAAAAAAAATTCACTATTTATATACACAAACATACACGTGTCTCTGTTCAAAAAAAAAAAAAAAAGCCTTCAAATGAGCCAAAAATTCAAGAAATGTGAAAATCTGCCTTATACTGCAGTGAGGGGGTGGTGCTTACAGGCATATTTACAAATAAAACTATGGTCTCTTTCGGTTTTAAGAATCAAACTCTCCTTAACTATTCCATCAGCAATAGCACCTTTTTAAGACAACTAAGGAATCACATTGTAAAAGACCTCTAAAACCATTGAGTTCAACCATTAACCCCACTACTGATGTTTTCAAGTTTGTTTTTAAGTGCCACATCTACACATCCTTTAAATACCTCCAGAGATGGCGACTCAACCACTTTCCTGGGCAGCCTGTTCCAATACTTGACAACCCTTTCCATGAAGAATTTTTTCCTAATATCCAACCTAAACCTCCCCTGGGGCAACTCGAGGCCATTTCCTCTTGTCCTATTGTATGTTACGTGGGAGAAGGTTGCTTATACATACCAAATCCTAAAAATAAATTTTTATTTTTCTATTATCCTGAGTCTGATAGGAGCTTTAGTTGCTACTTCTGACCTTTTAATCCTCTTATTGCTTGCCGTGTGCATGTTGGCATGCCATGCAGCAGGAGAGGTTTGCTTTCTCTTTGAGCACTGCAAACACTGCCTAAATGTTCACAGACCTTAAGTGGTAATAATGTCTAACATCCCCACTTCCCTGTCCTGCTCACACACTCAGTATCAGCCTTTAAGCCAGATTCCAGGCTGGACCTAACAATCTACAGCGGTACCTTTCAACCCTCTTTTTTAATGTAATTCTGGTATGTAAATATAAAAGCCCTACAAAGAAATGGAGCAACATAGGAATAAACAGGTAGTGGTATAAAGAAAAGGAAGAAACCAGGGCAGTGTTAATCCTGAGATGAATTTCTATGCCACTTGAGATGGTTAATTTCATAAACATCACTAGGGAAATGTCCAGTAGAACAACATCCTTACCCTTTTGAAAGACTGGACTGTTAATGGTTAATGACCTAAGCAATCAACCACCACTTGCAGTAACCACCCAGGTGGGTGTTTGAACCCCTCACTGGAGGCTACAGCTGGGGGTTGAACAAGATAAGGGAAGAGGCTCATAAGAGGCAAATCCTTCAAAGTGGGATAAGTGCTTTTATCATGCCTAAGTCCTTACACAAGTGACTCAGCTGTGAAAACTCCCCTCTAGAGAAGTACCTGGACATTCACATGTAGCCGGAAGATATTCATCCATCAAAGACTCCCAAAGTGTCCCGTGATCCAAAGTATTACATCATCCAGTGTAAAACTCCCCATCCTAGGGGAGGTACTTGGGCGTTCCCACCTGAACCTGAGCATATATAACCCGTGGAATTTTGTGTTTCACGGGCTTCCCCTACCACCTGACAGATCAAGACTGTGACCATCACCTTGACAAGACTGGGACCCTCATCAGCAAGATCACAAGAAGAGGACCAAGAGAATGCTGTTGGAATCCACAGAGTGGGGATATTTTTCTACTTAATCTGTCTCTCTGTAACTCTCTTCTTTCCCCCCTCTCTTTTTCCTATTTCTTTCTATCTCTCTCTACCTCACATTTATTGTTAAATAAAAATCCATACTATTGAGTTGGGCATACAGTGTCGTTTGCACCTTAATTTGGGAGAGACATCTCCCTAATAATTTTAATAACCAGATTATAACACACCTCTCACAAAATATGTTCAGATTTTTTATGACATTTCACAGAAGGACAGCCAGCCCTGAGAGAACTGATTAACGTCACTCCCTGTTCAACAGCATAGGTTAAAAGCTGGAATGAGGGCATCCAGCCTAGCAATACCAACTATAATAGTAAGATGACTAATGAGATGAGTAATGAAGGATATCATGTCTTAAAATTCCACCTTTCACAGAGATGAAAGGTTGAGAGAGATAGTTGCATTTATACACTAATTTCTCCCATACAGGGACCAGATGGCTTTTAGACTTTATTTCATTGATTTTCTCTTTTTTTTTTTAGTTTTTTTTTAATTGACTTCCAGCAAGAGAACTCTTCTTTCATAGCAGCCACATGACTTATCTTTGCATAGTCCTACAACATTTCTTTCTTCCCTTTCACTTTCTTAATCTGCACACTTTTTTTGATAACTAAAAAGCCAGTTTTGCAAAGTTTAACTCTAGCAGCAGTGCAAGACAGAAACATTCTTTTGCTAACTTGGTTTGTCACTTATGTTAAACCCTTGCTCTGTCCAATATCACATGTCTGAATCACACCTGGAAAAGCACTTAAGGACATACTTATTTATAAGAGGTAGAAGTGGTTTTCTAACTTGGAAAGCACTACTCAGCTGGGAACTGCATTTGTAAATTGCACATTTATCAGTGAATCTAAGTATTTCGGAAGGAACTGTCTGAACAGCACACATGTGGTGCAGAAATTGCCATGGTACCAGAAAGGAAAGATACGGCAGGGTGATGATAATCACTATTATTAGTATTTTAATCAATGGAAATTATGAGTAACTAGTAATAATGAACCCCAGTGTTTTGATTTGAAAGGGTTTTTTTCCTGAGATTAGGTGTTTGACAAAAGTTTGCACTATAAAGGGCAATATTTCAAGAAGGAAGGCAGGCTTAATGCATGCTTCAAAGAGCTCTAAACATCAGTTATTTCAACAGTTCAGGCTCATCCAAGTATGATTTTGCTAGGTGTTGCGAGGTGGCACTGCTAGATCCCATGCCAGGAGGTCTCCTGCTCCCTGTTGAATCCATGACCAGTCCTTGCAGCTGCATTGATCGCGCTCAGGTCTGCAACTAGGAGTCTCTCCAAGTGGAACTATAGTATTGGAAAAGCGAGAAATTTCACAATCTTCTTCAGACTTTTCATCTACTGTGGTGAATAAGCAACTTTCAAGGAATTTAGCATCTGTGTCAGTGCCAGGCTCTCCTGAAAAAGAGAGGTTTCTGTATGCTGTTTTACAAGCCTTGTAGCAAAGATTGTAGCAACAAACAAGCTTGTTCCACAAGGAAACTCTGGCTTTTATATGCCCAACTTCCCTGAGAAGCTGAGAAGACAGCTTGCAAAACTGTAACATCTGCTGTCTTTAGAAATAGGACAATGATATTAACTCAACCATATTGCATGGGCAAGAATACTTGCATCCACGGAAATGTTGAGATGGACCATAGCGAGTCAGCTGCCGAGTCACTTAGAAACTTTTGAGAGCCTTGCACATTGGGTGAGATACTCCATTCCCACCAGTCTTCTTTTGCTACAGTGGAAACCATGACAAATATGATCATGGTTTTTAATTCACAAAATGAGACAGTGCGTGGAGGGTGCCAGTTGCCTTTGCTAGGTGACTCAGAGTCTTCAGATCTCTGAACCAGAGGTCGTCTCTCAGTTTGGAAGAGTTTTTAATGTTTTCAATTTATTACTCTGAATTACTTTCAGTTGAATGACAGATACTCAGTTTAATGACAGATACTCAGTTTAATGACTTGAATTTATAGGCCTTCTGTTAATAACTCCCTCTGACTATGGAGTGCGAATGACAATGGTAAAGACACAGAGTAGTCTTATAGCAAAATAGCTTTTGAAAAATTGAAGTTGAATTTATGCTAATATAGCTATAAATAAAAGGGACTACTCTATGACATCCTTACAGAGGAAAATACCACAGCAAGGGTACTTCCTATGGCCTTTCTCATGCCTCTTTTTGTGATTATTCAAGGACTTAACTTCATGCACTTCAGAGAAGTGCAGAGATGCCCAGTTGCCATGTCAGTATTGAAAAATGGTTCCAATTCACTATGAATGTAGTCTCTTTCTTGCCTGCACAATTTATTTCCACTGGTATTGGTGGCCATGAGAGGCACAGTCCTGCTCCGTGCGTTACCAATGGGAAATGGGGACTACATACCTCATATGAGTGGAAGACATGAACCCTCATGTGGGCCAGGACCTTGTCTCTATTCCACACCTCCAGGAGCTATTTCTGTTTTCACTGGTGTAAGGCAGACTGAAAAGCACTGGCAGATACTTTAGAGAAAGGGAGTTTTCTCACAGTCCTTCCCTTCCTATTCCCCTCCACTTATGGGCCTTGCCTAACATATCCGATAAATATCTTAGAACAGTTTGGGTTGGAAAGGACCTTCTAAAGGTCATCTAGTCCAACTCCCCTGCAATGAGTAGGGACTTCTTCAGGATCAGCTTGCCCAGAGCCCAGTCCAACCTCGAACGGTTCCAGGGGTGAGGCCTCTACCACCTCTCTGGGCAACCTGTCGAGTGTTTCACCACTCTTATAAAAATTTTCTTCCTTATATCTAATCTAAACAAAATCTGTTTTAATTTAACAGTTTTGAAAAGTATAAAATTGCTGTAACCATGCCACTAAATCCTGGTCACAGGTGATACCCTTCATTTATGAACAAAACTAAGCAAACCTTGAGAGAAACTACAACAGTTCTCTTTATTCTGGAGGAAGTCTTCACAGTCTGTCCCATCTTTCTTACAGGTCCTCCTTAAGCTTCTTTAAACTGAAATGTTACAATAAGGTTTCCCAAGAGCCTTCTCTTCTCCAGGCCTGAACAACCCAAACTCTCTCAGCCTGTCCTCACAAGAGAGGTGCTCCCTCCCTCTGACTATTTTTGTGTAGAAAAGAAGAAAGCAACCTCCCTATTAACAACTACTTTATTGCAGTTGACATTTATCCAGGGCTTAGACCTCACACCTGTCTGTCTCTGCTTCAGCACCGTTCACATTCTTTTGGAGAGAAAACCTTTCCCTTGTACTGCCCTTTCCAACTTGCAGATGGAGCTTTGACTGCAGCTGAACTTAGGAAAGTCTCTGTTACCCATTAACTTCTTTCCATAGCAATATTGCAGTTCAGTCATCAAAGTCTGACCCAGCTACAGTATCAGGAACTGAAGAACCAAGAGGGCAAATTCAAAACATCATAGATGCACCTCTGCTACAAAAATATGTAGGTGTCTCTGTCTCCACGCATATGTGAGAGAGTGCATGCATCCCCTAGCTGCTAAATTACACTTTTTTCATAACTTCAGTCTGAGACAAATGAAATTGCCCCCCAAAAATAATGAAAGTCAAATTGATCTTCTAAATGGATCAATAGAAGCTTAACTGAAATAGATAAGGGAGTTTATCAGACCTGATGTAGTAAAACACTAATAAGATCACTTTCAATTCATACGTATAAGACTAAATTTTCAGCACAAATTGATCTCATGGCCAAGGATGAATGGGAACCTTTAGTAACGGGTTAGGGCTGCAAAGCATTCTTTTTCTAACAAACAGTAGGTTTTCCTCTTTTCCTTACTGCATGCATATTTTTAATTCTGCCTTTCTTCCGCACAAAGCAGTAGATTTCTCTCTGAAGTGCTTATTTGTTTCAGAAAACAAACCATCGGTTCATTGTCTGCACCGTTTTGCACTGAACGGGACCTGAGAAAAGGAGAATGGGAATAAAAATCCCTTATGGCCTTGATTGTAAAAGTGTTCCTCTTGGGGCCCTTGTTGTTCCCACTGCCTGCAGTGACCACGTAAGGAGTTTGGATGAAGCAGAGCAGCCTCAGGAGAAGGGATGGAGAGAGCCCCCAGCCGCACTGCAGAAGATATGAACTGGAGGCTCCCTCACTGGCACTGGCCACTGTATATTTGGCACCTTCTCCTTTAAAATTTTGGGGTTGATGTTTTCTGCAAAAAAAGAAAAAAACTATTTTCCCCTAACTCTATGTCTATAAAATCTGCAAAAGGCAGGTCACCTCATCTGCCCCAGAGACAGGCACCAATCCATCTTCTGGAGTGGGGCTGAAGCATCCTTTTCTCTGCATTCTCCCTGGCTCGCAAGATGCTTTCCTCCCTCTGCACACTATCCTGGCTTCTTACCCAGGCATATGCTCTGCTAGTTGGAGGGATAATCTTGTTGGGTTTATCACTACTGCTTCAAAGAGTGGGATTTACCTCTTCTATTTTCAGGTGCCCTGAAGTTCTATGTGTAGCTTATGTTCTTCTATAGCCTTAGGCTGCTCTCCATGGTCAGTGGGGAAAACCAGACTCCTCCAGGGGGAGCAAAGAGAAAAACCACTGTGCTCAAAACACTGTGAGCTGAGATGTGTCAAAAAATATAATGTGAAAGAAGGAAAGTCCAACTGGGCTGGAGAGACAAGAAAATACAACTCCACCACAAGCAGAAGGCAGGCAGATAGAAATTCATCCCACATACCCCAGAATAGCTCACATCACCTCCTGGAAGAACCAGTTTGTCTCCAGTGACTGCAGAGATCTTCAACGCTTGCACTCACTAAATACTTAGTTTTCGGATGGTTAGAGGCAAGTGAAACGAATACAGCTTTGAGGATCCAGCATCCACAGCTGTGAAGTTAGCTCTTAATCTGATAGTATTTTTTCCTGGAAGGCTGCTCATGCAGCTGGAATATAACTTTTTTGCTGCAGCTTGATCCATTTAAAAGAGGAAAAAAAAAAACTGCAAAAGAAAGTACTTCCCTGGCCATTTATATATGCGTAAATAAATATATTCAAAAAGGAGAGAGCCCTTGCACAGCTTTACCTTTCTCTATCTGACTCCTAAAATAAAAAGAAATAAAACAAAAGGAATTGCCAGGAGAAATCTTCTTGTGCTTTAGGACATGAGGGGGGAAAAAAAAAGACAGTACAGTATGTAGACAAAAAAAGCCCCCCATGAGTTTTGACTATGCAAAATTTTGGTCATGTGAAGAGGTACTGTCTGCATCACTGCACAAAAGATACTGGGTTTTGGTGTAACCCAGCCTGAAGCTGGTGTATCATCTGTGAAGTGATACCAATTATTTTGATATGGAGATATTCAGTAAGGAATTTAGTCTGCTCTGGGATTAGTTACCAAAAGACTTTTGGCACCACAGAGAGAAGATGGCTGAATATTCATATCCCAAAGTATGACATTTAGAACAATAAATAGGAAAAATTGAGATGACATTATAACACAGCAAAATAACAGGCCTTTCCTAATGTTTTTTTATAAAGCAATACATAACAGGATCATCCATTCTTTTTAATTGTAGAATCAGTTATATATCATTAAGAAAATGGAATTCCTAAATAATTACATTTTTAAAAGTATTCTGCTGAGGTAATCATAGAATTATAGACTGATTTGGGTTGGAAGGAACCTTAAAGATCATCTAGTTTCAGTTCCCCTGCCATGGGCAGGGATGTTTCTCAGGTTGCCCAGGGCCACATCCAACCTGGCCTTGAACACTTCCAGGGATGAGGCATCCACAGCTTCTCTGGGCAACCTGTGCCAGGGCCTCACCACCCTCACAGTAAAAAATTTCTGACTAATAACTATGCTAAACCTGCTCCCTTTCAACTTGAAGCCTTTCCCCCTTGTCCTATCAATAATCTCTTTGTAAGGAAACCCTGTAACAGTGTACAAGAACAAACACTGACTACCAAGAAAAGCAGAACAACACTGAAGGCTTTTGACAGTAAGACAACTGCAGACCAAAATGTAGGACTCTGAGCATTGCCAATTAATACAAATATATTTAATGAAAACCAGAAAGAAATGAAGAAAGATAAGATTTTCTGGGCTACAACTTCTAAACATAAATTGTTGTCTAAAAAAAAGCATGCTGAATATGGCATATTATAATAGATAGGAAAACCTATCTATCAACTGAACTGAGTTACAATCAATTTTTGAAATAACAGAAACATAAATAAAAAAGCAACAGTATCATGATACTTATCAGACCTCTTGTTAATGAGGAGTAAAGGATTTCTGCAAAATAGGCTGTTAATGTAAAATCCATAACTCTGCCTAGATTTCAGATAGCTGCCTCTGGAATGATAGTCCCTGGTCTGTTCCTAGCATTGCCAAGAATACAAGAATATGAACTGTATCCAGAGTGCAGAAAATAAAAACAAAGTGGGTTTTTTGGTTTGGTTTTTGGGATCTTCTAATGAACAAAATCTTTCAGGAATGGACTTGAATTGTAGGCTTTGCAGGTAAAAATTTCAAAGTACTTTTGGAACCCAATGAGCAATATGAACACAGTTAAGAGGAAAAAATAAATAAATTTACTGCCCCAAATAGAGTCCACAACTTCTAAATTAGGGCTCTGTAAGCTACTCTCAAATTTGAATATTAAGTTCAAAGTATATCAAATTAGATGCTTCAAACCACAGAAAACCAAAACCTGTTGCTGTCTTTTCATATATTATTTTATTACTTCAAACGCTTAATTGTAACTGAAGCACTTTGCATGTCCTTCTGTTCTGTTCTGATTTGAACAGAAATCAAAGAATGGTTTGGGTTGGCAAAGATCATCTAGTTTCAAATCCCTGCCATGGGCTGGGACACCTTCCACTAGACCAGGTTGCTCAAAGCCCCATTCAGCCTGTCCTTGAACACTTCCAGGGATGGGACATCCACAACGTCAATAGGTGCCTTGGCAGAACAGAATCAGTATCATGTGCCTGTCTTAACCAATCACAATTGTTTTATGGATATAATTCCTCAATTGTAGACTGAAGGTTTCAAAACCATATTTCTTGAATATGTTTGAATACCAGTTGATGCTCAAAAAACCACCGTTTGTTAATTACTACAATATTAGCAGAAAAAGGAGATGCAATTTTCAAAAACATCATTAAAAAATGCATTGTCCATGTGTTAGTCACAAAACACATCAGGAAATTAATTTGCATAAACTGCACGTGCATTAAGCACAGGATGGGAAGTCACAAATATTTCCAGACTAAATTTTCATAATGAAGAAAGGCAGGACAGAAAAACTTTAAAAACACAGTACTTCAGGGATATTTCCCCCCTCCTTCCCCTCCCCCAGAGATTTACCCCACATTTACAAGTGAAGGGAAATTATTTCTGCACCACTTCAAAGAACCTACAGCAGAATATGATGGGTGCCTGTCTGGGAAATGACCTGTCTTGGGCTGTGTGTCCCCTTTGTCACATGAATTCCTGGGTCTCAATTTTCTTCTTTTTTTGATCCCATCTGTTGGCTGGAGGCTCCTGGGACACACACACACACACACACACACACACATACACACATGAACCAAACCTCATAGCAGAAGTCACCCAAACTCAAATGCATTTGTTCCCTGAATGTAAACATGGGGGGAAATACGAA